AGGAGTCAGACCCATTTTTTGTGCACTGAAACAAATCTTTTCACAATAAAACTACACAGGAAGGCTTTTATTTTGAATTTGATTTATTTATACAGCAGTGATTTTAATTCAACATAACTCGGACTAACAGTCTTTACTGCACACAGGGTCCAATGCACACTGCTACCAGAGGATGTTTTACTTCAGAGCACCAAATAATGACATCACAAATGTGCGCACTGAAAAAAATATGACTTATAAAGTCAATTTCCTGCTGCCTATTCTACTTCCAGAATTGGAGTGATTTCCAACTCTTCACAGTGTTTCTCTCTTCTTGAGCCCACATTAGACTCCTGTAACTCTTTCCCCTAATCCTGTTCTTAAACTCACTTATAATGTGAGATAGAAGCAAAAGAGGTGCAGCAACATGTCTTTGGGGTTATTAGCTGTGAGCTGTGAGTGGTCTGATGTTCACAGCTGGAGTCAGACAGTTTTCTGCAGTCAGGAGGAGGAGGAGCTGCTTTTGTTGTCATGATGTGTCCTGTTGAATCCTGATGACAGCTTGTGTGTCTTCAGGAGGTCCTGCACAGTTTGTGCTTCGTGCTGCTCTTTAGAGTTTTCCTGCTTCAACTTTGTTCACACAGAGCATCTGATTCTTCTCTCTGTGGTGTCTGAGCCAAAGAACATCCACTAAACACTCACATCTGGGCTCCACTTTGAAAGTAAAATATTACATTTATGTAAATCTGTAACCAGTAAACATTTACAGCTCGTGTAATAATAAGTGTACCTCTGAGAAAACTGTTGGAGTCAGATTTGAAAGACCTGAAAGGTTTTACTCCTTTTATTTGATACAGCAGCTGAAAAAAGCTGCTGCAGTTTCTGCTCTTTTGTCTTTGATATTTTTATATCAATATGATGGATTTATTTAGTTGTGTATCAAAAATTAAATGAAAGTCAGCACTGAAAGCTAAACAGTCAAAATAATTTCCTTTATTTTTATTCCACAGCCTGCATGGAGTTTAATTCATTCGTGGATCTGTTTTCGCTTCTCACGGCAGCCTTGCTGCTCACAATCATTTATTCATTTACTGCAACAAACTGACACTTTAAAGAGGAAATAAAGGCAACACTCGTGT